TACAATTAAATTTGGCAAAGGAATGTTCAGAGCCTCCGCCATGTGCAAATCTCCGCCTCCACCTCCTGATTGTTGACGGAGTCCGCGCCGTACAGTCGTGTTGGCTCCCGCGACATCGGGACAAGAGCCTGCGCCAGCACAGGCATACCCCTGTAAAAAAACATACTGGATAGCGGCACAGCCAAGAGGCGAGTGCGGCTTTGCAGCACACCGCGAAGTGACGCCACGTAGTTGCGTCCCGAGCGACTGTCCGGTAGGAGGCGGAAAAATATGTTGTCTACGCGGTAGCACTGCAGGAACTTGGGAAGCTCCCGCGGCCCGTCGTCGTCAAGCATCACAATTTGCTTCACAGTCTGCGTGGCCTCGGCTACAAACTCGCGTTCGACGCGGCGCAGCTGCTCCATGCGAACCTCCGCCTGCGAGATTGTGCTGTCCTCCATCTCCCACGCCAGCTGGAACTCGGCATTCCAGTCCCGGTAAGAAGGGGGTAGATGAAGAATGCCGTCACGAACGCGCGGCCTACAGTGATACCCACTTCTTTCCCCCCTGCTCTTGTTTCATTCCATAAACAATAGGCCATCGAAGAGGAAGGGAGGGGTGGAGAGAGGTGGGGTCATTGTGAGAGACGCAGCACCGTACAGCCCGCGCATAACATGAGACACATGCAACGCGACCAGTTATGACGCCCTCCTCCCGCTTGTGCTTCTGCTGCTGCGCGGCGCCCACACAACCGCACTGCGAGCAAGAATGGTGTGTGTGTGTGTGTGTGTGTAGTGGGGATCAGAGGGAAGGACAAGGGGAAAGAAGTAGAAGTGCGAAGATGGGCGCAAATATTTGTTTACAATGCGCAGAAACGCGCTTGCATCGCCCGTGCCCAAACAGCAGATACGGTACAATGCAACCCCCCTCCCCCCAAAAAAAAAAAAAAAAAAAAAGTAATTTAACGCCGCATTCTTTCAGGCCGTGTGCTGCTGAAGCCCTTTCCGCCATACATTGACCCTCGACCAAGACGGAAGTAGTTTGTCTGCATCTCCGTGTGGAGGACGTCCCAAAGGGCCGCCACGACGGTCGGCATCCTACACCTGCTGACTCTCCTCATCCAATGGCAGCCGCAACGCCCCCCTGCAGCCTTGCGTGAACGACCTTGTGGGTCAGGCCGGAGCGAGTACACGGTGGCTCCGGGAAAACTTGTTGCTGTGGGCTGCCAAAGTGGATTTCAGCGCTGCGAGCGGCACTTGAGGGCCGCACCCCATCATCGTCAGGACGGCCGTCATGCATCCACACACCGCCGCAGCGGCCATCACCAGCGGCGAAAAACGATACGGTAAGACATCTTGCGGAAGAAAGCACGCCCTACTGCCTCAATGCAGGAGCCCACCCCTCACCATTTTTCCCTCTCCGCTCCGTGGTGCTTCTTGAGGTTCCCGCCCGCAGTGTCCTTTACTACAGTCGTATTTGCAGCAAATCGTCGTACTCGTCGCTATCAGCCTCCCGCGGGCGTTTGCGCTGCTCGGGCGCCTTCGTCACACCCTTCAACAGCTGCGTCCGCACATCGCTGCGCTGCATGAGCAATTGCAACTGCTCCTCCTCGCTGACGCCCATCTTGACATGCGACACGGCACGCTCCAGCGCACTAGGGGCATCCTTCTGCGCCTGCTGCTTGCGAAACTCGCGACGACCGCCGCGCTTCTTCTTCGCCTCTTCCCCCCGCACAAATACATGTGGAACAGGGAGCGCCTGCGTATCGATGGCGTTGACCTTCCCCTCAGCCAGAAGCACCTCGAAGCTGCGCCGCACCTTTTCGAGTTCTGCCTCGCCGAGCGCACCTGTTGCGGGGCTACCGGCGAGGTCGGCCTTGGCGGCAATGCTGCACTTGCGGGCCAGCACGGCAATTGCCTTCTTCGCCGCCTGCATATCGTCCGCCCGCACCTCGTCGGTACCAAAGAACTCCAAAAAGACGGGCGCCTCGGCAATGTCGCCTGCATGCAGGTGCCTCTGCCGCTGAAACTGCGTCGCGGCGTCGAGGCCGAGGTGGCGAAGGGCTGCGTCTGAAAGACGGGCGAGACTGGCCAGTCCACCGGCCTTCTCCGCGAGCCCCACCGCCACATCGCGGCCGACGAGTGCAGACAAGTTGGGAAGCGCGGCCGCGCTGTCCTTCGCCATTTTTTTTTCTTTTTCTGTTTCACCCTCCCACCCCCTCCCACACAACTCCCCTTCACTCACTATGCAGCGTGCGCTCCTTTATTGCTTCTCTCTTTTTTTTTATCTGTAGTTTGTGTGCGTTGGCTGCGGCCCGCAGGCAGGATAGGGCGGAAACCCTAACAGACAAGAAGAAGCCGCGAGCCGCGGAAACACGCAATGGGCCCCAGAGAAGCGCATGTCTACATACACACATGTACCCGCAGCCATATTTGCAGGGCAGAAGCCACGAGTGAAACCAAGCAGCAATAACACACACACACACAACAACAACAACAACAACAAAAAGCAGCACTTTTGTTTAGACGAACTTTTCACGCAGAGGGCGATAACGGGCAGAAACCGGCCGCCATCCTCTCACAGTTGATTACAAACTGACACACCCACAAGTAGAGACAGAGAGCGAGAGCAGGCAAACACACAAACAAAAAAAAACTGCATCATCTTGTTCCTGCCTTTTCCTCCCATTTTTATTTTTTATTTTTTTTTGTTGCTGCCTGCAGACTCTCTTTAGCCGCACAACTCCGGCAGTTCACGCCGTAGCGGACGAGCGACCCCGCTTCTTTCCGTCCCGATTCATCTTGGCCTTTAGGAGGCGCACGAGTTCATCGCACTCCGCCTGAAGCTTGCGGCCCCGTTCCTCCTCGTAGGCCAGTTGCCCCACCGGTGTGTTGTCTAACGCAGCCGAAAGGCTCCCCGCCAGATCTTCATCACTGCTCACGGCGAGAAGAGGCAGTGCAGGCTCCACCAGTACACGAGCCCGTTGCCACGTGTCCCAGCCGTAGTGTGCCCGCAGAACCGGTGACGCATCCGGCGCCGCCGTCTCCAAGCGAATATCAGAAAATGCTGGACACCGCAATGGCTCCTCTGCCGTCTCCCCTGACGTTTTACTCTCCACACGACAAAAGTTACGGGAAAGCCAAAAGTCTGTCGCACCGAGGCCCCACGTGGCGATCGCGCCGCCGCTTTCTCCCTCGCCACGAGGGCGAAAAACCGCTGTGAGGCGGTCCGTTGTCACTATGAGTCGCGCAATAAAAAGGTCTTCAGGTGCTTCCGCCACAAACTCCTCGCCTCCGCTCGACCACGAGTACTGCTGGAGCCACAACGGGGGATCCCGCCGGACCATTGGCTCGACAAGGCGATCGTTGTCGTACAGGTCGACGCGGGCGAGCCGTGTGCCGCCGAGAAAGCAGGTGGTCTCGTCCGGCGAAAGCGCCAAACAGCGCAGCGAAAACTCGACTCGCACATCACAAAGCAAGGAACGAGTCGTGGTGTCAAAGACAATGAAACGACCGCCTACGCCGCAGGTCGCTAGCCAGTTCCCTGTGGAGAAAAATGTCATTGCCATCACCGGTAGCGTGTGACCCGACAGGCGGCCCATCCGCTCCTCACCATTCGTCAGGAGGTTTAAAGTGGGTTGCACGACAGGCGCCGCATCGTGGCCGGCGGAGGCAACAAGCTGGGAGGTAGAGGCGCAGAGGCAGTGCACCGGCCCATGATGCAGCGCGCGCGCATACACGCAGACGCCAGCGGTATCCACCGCCGCAGCACTGCTCGGTTGCGCAAAGGCGAGGACGCAGCCCACGTCGGTTCCCACCACAACAATGCGGTCCATCACAACCGCGGCGGCGGTTACACGAAGCCCTTCCGTAAGGCGCTGACCCAAGAGTGCCGCGACTTCCAGCGTCGGCATTAGCTACGCACTTTACTCTTGTTGATGTTTTGTTCCCGCCAAAAAAAATTAAATAAAAAAATTGTCCATTTAAAATGGACACACACACGTCATCAGAGCAGCGGGCGTAGAAGCAAAGAAAGACGCAAGCGAGCAAAAAAGTAAGTTGATATTTTAAATGAGTTTTCAGCCATGGCGCCTCCACCAAACTCCACACACATTTTGATATATATATATATATATATATATATAT